AGCGCTGCCGGCATCACCACCCGCAGGTACCTGGCCCTGGCTTCTGATAGTGCCACCCAGTTGGGAATGGTGCCTGATGTCACCGTGTCTGTGAGGACCCGCGGGGCTCCTACGGGCAGGACTGGTTCACAGCCGAACAGGAGGCTGTAAGGCGAGTGATCCTTCAAAGCCGCCTGCTTCCCGAATCTGTATCCCGCTGCCACCCAGTGTAATTCATCACCCCAGTCCCGCTTCCTCTTCTCCCCATATGCCCTTAGCCCTCTCTTGAGAGTCTGAACCAGCCGCTCTGTCAATCCATCACTTTGTGGGTGATAGCGTGACGTGCGCCTGTGCGTAATCCCCGCCTCGTCCAACAGCTTCTTGAACTCCCCCTGGAACTCTGTCCCCTGGTCGGTGAGCACCTCTGCGCATGCTCCAAATCTGCATACCACCTGCTCCTTGAACGCTGCTGCCACATGCCTCGAGCTCTTGCTGGGGATAGCCCTCACTTCTAGCCACTTACTCACGTGCTCCACCATCAGTACTATGTACTGCTTCCCTCCCCGGCTTAGCGGCAGCTCCCCGGCTAGATCTAGGAACCATCTAAAGCCCAGGCCTCGGATGGGCAGGGACTGCAGCTCGGCCCTCGCTTGGCTGAGGTTGGCCCTGCTGCGTTGACATGCCTCGCAGCCCTCCACCCACTTCTGCACCTGTCTGCGCATCCCCTCCCACCACCACCCCGTCTTCAGTAGCTGCACCGTCCTTTCATGCCCGAAATGTCCCAGCTTCATGTGCACCTCCTTGATCACTGGTCCCCTCTCGGCCGGGGCTGGCACCAGCTTCCACCCTTCCTCCGTCTGTATCTGCAGCTGCTGCTGGTACCACCTGTAGTGGTGCCCCCTTGCTCTTACCCTCTCTGGCATCGCTTCATCCTCCCCTGTCTCCCCCTTGACCCACCGCATGGCCTGTTCATCCTCCCAGATATCTGCTGGCCCCTTGCTTCCCCTTCCCCCGTTCATCTCTACCTGTCTGGCCAGCAGAGTCAATGCCACTGTCGGTTCCAGTGGTGGGGGGTTTCGGGAGAGCCCATCTACGTGCTGTAGGGTCTTCCCAGGCCTGTGTCGGATCTGAAAATCATATTCCTGCAGCTTCATTGCCCACCGTGCGTTCCTGCCCGTCAACCCCGGTGTCGTCATCAGCCATGTCAGGGGCTGGTGATCCGTCACCAAGGTGAATTCCCGGCCCTGCAAGTACACTCTGAAGTGCCCCACCGCCCATACTGCCGCTAGCCCCTCCCCAATGTAGGAACTGTACTGCGCCTCCGCCGAATTGCAGCTTCTGCTCGCGTAGGCCACCACCTTCTCCTCTCCCTTCACCTCTTGGCAAAGTATCCCCCCCATCCCTTGGCTGCTCCAGTTGGTGTAGAGGGTGAAGGGCTGGTCTGCAGCTGGCAGTTGCAGTACGGTAGCTGTCTTCACTGCAGCCATCAAGTCCTGCAACGCACCCTTCTGTGCTTCCCCCCACTCCCAGGCCCTGTCCTCCCTCAGTAGCCCATTCAACGCTGCTGCTCGTTTGCTGAAGTTGGGTACAAACCGCCGATAGTAGCTCAGGAAGCCCAGCACTGCCCTCAGCCCCGACTTGTCCTTGGGCTCCCGCAGCCGGTCCAAGACCTCCACCTTTGCCTGCTGGATCCCAATCTGCCCCCCTTTCACCTCGTATCCCAGGTACTGCACCGCCTGCTCCCCCCACCTGCACTTCTTGGGGTGGCATGTAAGCCCTGCTGCCTCTAGCGCCGCCAGCGTCTTACCCACATCTTGAAGGTGCTGCTGCTCAGTGGTGCTGAAGATCACCACGTCATCTATGTAGCAGGCCGCGCAGTCTACATCTCGCAGCACCGCATCCATAACCCTCTGGAACACGGCTGACGCATTCCTCAATCCAAAAGGCATGTACAGCCACTCGTACAGCCCATCGGGCCCATGGAACGCAGTCTTCTTTATGTCCTCCTCTCTGATTTTGATTTGATTGAACCCCTGCCGCAGGTCCAGCGTCGTGAAGAAGACCCCCTCTGCTATCCTGTCGAAGATTTCTTCCGCCATCGGCATCAGGTACCTGTCGGCTATGGTGATCTTGTTGAGCGCTCTGTAGTCGCCACACATCCTCCTGCTCAGTACCTCCCCTGTCAGGTCCTTCCTCGCAGCCACCACTGTTGGCGTAGCGTATTCAGATTCGGAGCGTCTAATCAGTCCTGCTTCCAGCAGCTCCTTAAAGCTGCGATCTACATACTTCGAGCGGGGGGGCCTGGTTTATCACTTGAAAACCAGGTGACCAGGTTTTTCACTCGGCCCCTTAGCCTGCAAATAGAACGGTTGAGGGGGATGGAGAGAGGGGGGTGGGGGTCCCTTTCCCGATATCGAACTCCCCAATTGGTTTCCGCCCTTCCGCGGACTCTTCCCCCAACCAACGAAAATGGGTTGGATTCGTGTGCTTGCGTGACTTCATCGCTCCTGTGTTTCAGAAACGAGTTGACTTCGCTTTCCAATCAGGCTGCGTGAAAGGGTGTGCATCTACAATACCCCCAAAAACGCAACTTAGTATGTAGACCGCAGCTTTAATCTTCTCTTTGCATATTTCCTCATCCCCGTGCGGCATCTTCCTCCTGCGATGAAACACCGGCTCCGTGCTATTCAGTTTCAGCTCCATCTCCTTCACCTTGCACCGTCCCAACTCCTGCAGCGTGAAGGCAAAGCACTTCCTGTGCTTGTGCAGCAGCTCCTGCATTGCCCCCCTTCCCTCTTCACTCAGCGCCTCTCCCACCGTCCACTGTGGTCTCTCTTCCTCCCTGCATGCCCATGCTCCTTGTGGGACCGCTGCTGCATCCGTTCCCTTGGCCTCATGCCCCCAGCTCAAGACCGTCTCCCTCCACATCCTTTGAACCAGCCACCTCATCATATGCCCATCCATGGCGTTCCCCAGTGCCCTCCTCCTCTCCTCTTCACTCAACCCTGGGGCTGCTGTCACGTTCTCCCCGTACCCCATGGCCAACTCTCTCTCTAACGCCGTCGGTTCCTCCCACCGCCCCTGTCTGTGATCATACACCAGTCCTGGCCCCGGCTTTCCCCCATCCCACTTGTAGCCGGCTGCCCCCACATACGACACCAAGGTGGGCAGGGCTCTCCTCTCTCGCCCCACCTGGTTGCACGGGTAGTGTTTGCTGTATCCCTTCTGACTTACTGGTGCAGGAGTCCGCCCTGGTTCCAAGATGTCCTGCACCCTTCTGTCCGCCGCTCTCTTCACCCCTTCCACCTCTTCTTGCAGTTGCAGCACCGGGACGACGTTCTGCCAATACATCCTGAGCCGATGTGCATAAGACCCCATCCTAGCTGCGTCACAGCTGACCCCCTTCCCCAACTGTTTGCTGATTCTCTCTCACACCAACCGGATCGGCTCGCGGCAATCTCCTTCCAGGTCCAGATTCTCTAGCAGGTACGCCACCCTTCCCTGCCTCTCTTGCAGCCACTCCAAGATGCGGAACAGACTCTCCATCAGCTGCGTCCTCGGGTCTTCTCCTCCCTTCCCCTTTCCAGCCCATGACACCCCTTGACACTCCCATCCCGCTACCAGTAGATCCACTTGCCCCCAGCTGGCCACCTGCGCCTCTGTCACCTGGCTCACGTCATGGAGGGTGCTGCTCATGGCGTCCTGAATCACCGCCGCGCTCAGGAGCTCTGGGAACTCGGCCTGCAGCCTCCACGCATGATGCTCCGCCATCCTCCTCACCTCTGGCGCTCGCTCTACATAGATCCACTGCTGCACCGCTATCCCATTCCGGACCACCGCCGCCAGCCCTGCCCCAATTCCGCCGAACAGCTCCACCAAGCGAATGGGCTGCTGCCAGTCGCTCTGCTTCTCTGGGGCGTCCATCGGCCTCATCCAGGGCCCCTCCTTGATCTCCTCTGCCCCCGCCTGTTCCTCTCCCCCTGTCTGCTGCTTCCCCACATCCTCTTTTGCGCGGGCCTGGTATGCCCTTTTCGGCTCCACCCTAACGAATTGCACTGGCAGTTGCCCCAAGGGCCCCTCCTTCTTCCAGTACCTCGTGCGGAATTCTACCTTCTCTGTCCAGGTGCAAATGCTCATGCCCACCGCAAACACCATCTCCGTCCCTACCAACACATCAAAGTCCTCGGATTCTGAAATCCCGCATTTCATCCTGATCCGGGTTTCCTGCTCCCCTCCTGGCAGCAGGGTCAGCTCTATGGGTGTCCATGTGCATGGCATCCACTTCGGCTCCCCCCCTTCTGCTGTCATCACCAACATGCCCTTTGCCACTTGCCTCTCCGGGGCCATCAGTCCTAGCCGTTTTGCCATTCCCTTGCCTAACATCACGCTCTGTGCCCCTGTATCAATGATGGCCGTCTTCACCTTCCTCCCTTCTACCTCCATTGCTCCTGCCCCCACTAGTAGCACCGACGTCTGACATGCCACTCTCTCTTGCGGGTGGCGGGCAGGAGGTTTCTCCTGCGCCACAGGGTCGGGCTGGTGTCCTCGTTCCCGCTCCTTCCTGCCGTGCTCCTGCCTGCCATCCCGTCCCCTGCTCCGCAGCCCCATCTCTTCTCTCCCCCTCCATGCCATCAGGGCACACTGAGCATCCGGCTCCACCTCCTCCCCTTCATCATCCCTGGCGTACATTCCTGCCTCGGCCTCCCACATAGGCCCCATGGCTTGCAGCTGAGACTGTAACCTGCTGATCTGCCTTTGCAGCTCCTCTGGATTCCTCCTCACTCCCCCTTCCTTCTGATAGCACTCCTTGGCATCATGCCCCCGCTTCCCACAGATCTCGCACCGGGCTGCATCAGGACATTCCCTCTTTCAGTGCCCCAGCTTCCCACAGCCATCACAAACCTTGCAGTCCCTACGGAGGTGTCCCACCTGCCCGCAGCGGTGGCACGTGCGGGTATCTGCCCGCATCTCCCCTCGCGAGTCCGCCCTCCCCTTCTCCTCAGGTATCATGGCTGCCGCCCATGTTGGCCTGCGGCTTCTCTCTGTCGGCTTCGGGAGGTAGGCTTCATATTTCCGCTGCGCCAGCTCTACCTTCTCGGCCAACTCAAACACCTCCTCCAGAGCCGCCTCTGCCCCTAACTCGTATACCCTCATCCTCAGCCCCCCCCCCAGTGCCTCGTCCAAGCCTCCCAGGAACTTGCTAATGAGCAGGCTGTTGTCCGCGCACTTCACGTCGTCTGCCACGTTGATCAACCTGTTGTAGTAGGTCAGCAGGGACTCCGTTCGTCCCCTCCGGAACTCTTGGAACTCCCTTATCCGCTCCGCCATATGCCCTGGGAACTGCCGCTGTAGCCGCTCCAGAAACGCCTCGGTGGGGTCCTCCCCATACTTCCCTGCCCTCCATAGCAATTCCTCCATCCGCATGCGGTACAGCGTCTCTGCCTCTCCCTCCAGCGTGTTGGGTAAACTCAGGAAAAAGTCTACGGGGTCTACATTGTGCCTATCACAGCGGTACCGCAGATTCCCCACTTGCATCAAATAGTTTTTGAGGGTCGGCCCCGCGCGTTGGTCTCCTGAGAACCTAGCGGGCACCTCCACCCGAGGCGCGCTAGCAGCACCCCCCCGCCCCTCTCCCCACGATTCGCTATATCCACCCGGCCGACTGCTCCCCACCCCTCTCGCCCTTGCCTTCAACATGCCCTCTCTGGCCTCCCGTGCCCGCTCCGCGCCGTACACCAGGCTCCCGCTCTCTGGCCGACTCCACTCCGCCGCACGACGCCCTTCCTTTGGCCCTCCCCACTCCTCCGCGCGAGCCCATTGCTGTGTCGGCGGGCCATACATCCTCCGCCCCTCTCCTCTGCTCGTCTCACGGTGCCTACGTCTCTCTGGCGACGGTGACCAGGCCTCCCCACGTCCACTGCGCTGTTGGCGGTGCTCAGGCGAGTGCCAGTCTTCTTCCTCCTTGCCCCTTCTCTGGCGGCGCCCCTCTGGCGAACGGGACCCGCTGTTGTCCCTCCTCCCTCCCTGCCTGGTCCGCTCCTGCCCGCGCGTCGCGCTGCCGCGCTCCACTGGCGGCCTCCCGCGCTGCTCCTGCGGCCACTGCTCCGCCCGGTCTCTCCTCCCTGCCCATATGTCTCTGGAGCGTGCGGCTCATCCTCCCACCGATTCCCGCGCGCCTGCTGCCGCTCCAGCGGCTGCCCGCCGCCGCCACTCCAATCTCCCCGCTCTCCCCATCGGTCATGCGCCCTGGGATCCCCTCCACGCCCGTCTCCGCGCTGCTGCTCTCTTTCTGGCGCGTGGATCCGCTCCGCCCTTCCCGCACCCCGCTGCCTTTGTCTCCGCGTCTCGCGCTCCCTCTCATCTTGGGCCATCCGCTCCTGCTGAAGCGCGTCCTCGGCGCGCTGCTCTTCCCCACTGCTGGCGTCGCGGCCGTGAGATCCCTCCGCTTGGCTCGCGCCAGCGTTCTCGTCCGCCTGTGCGTGTTCGGCGTGTTCCGCGTCCTCGGCGTGCTCGTCTAATTCCGCGGCCCGGTCCTCGTCGTCATCTCCCTCCTCGGCGCTTTCGTCCTGCAGCCCCTGGCCCTCCTCGTCCGCTTCTGCGTCCAGCGCTCCCTCCACCACTGGCGCTGCGCCGTCCGGTGCGCCCTCCGCGCGGTCGTCGCCGCGCGCATCTCCTTCTCGTTCCCGGGGAAATTCCCCGAAGCCCTGCCAACGGCCGCGGTCGTCATGGCGCCGTCCTCGCCCCTCTGGGGAGCGGAACCTCCCTTCCTCGCGGCGAGATCCGCCTCCCCCGTCGATTCCGCGGGATTGCTCTCGCAGCCACGCGTCTCTCTCTCCGCCTCTGCCACGGCCCGCATTGCCTGCTCCCTCGCCCGTCGCTGCTTCCTCTCGATGGTCACGGGCTAAGGGAACTCGATCTGCGCGGAAGGCCGGCCTACGTGGCGATCGCTCTACCGATCGCCCTCGCTCGCGTGACGGCTCGCTTTGCGGCCGTTCTTCCTCGCGACGGCTAAACATCCTACCCGAACGCAGTTCGTATTTATCCATACTTGCGCCGGTTCAGTCCTTAGGCTTGTTATGAAAGAGCTTGCTCCCTCACCCCGTAGGTTCCTCTCTTAGTGACTGCCACGGTGTGCTAGAGCTTAGATGACAAATTCCACTACTTCGAGAGAATAACAAGCCTAAGGCAAGGAAGGGGTGGGTGTGAGGGACCTTACCCAGCCCCAAGCTGCACATTTCCCAAATGTGCGGCTCGGGATTGGTGTTTCCTGGTTTCACAATTCGCCCTTCCGTCCCTTTCCCCCGTGATTCCAACCGCTTCAATTCGGTTCCCCCCTTCTACACCCCTCTACAACAGTCATATCGCTACATTCTACACCCCTATGCTATTCCTAATATATAAGCCTTCTTACAGCTATGGTCGTACGCTAGCATGATAATTATACCCGCATCCTACTGTTATAGCATATGCACTAAATGCATATGATGTGACACTTCCCTTCTCTGCCTTGCCCCGCCTCAGTCACCCACATGAAAGTGTTTGGTCCCTCACACCGTAGGTTCCCCTCTTAGTGACGTGCCACGCTATGCTAGAGCGTAGATGACAACCTTCACTAGTTCGAAAGAATAACAAGCCTAAGGCAAGAAAGGGGTGGGTGTGAGGGACCTTACGCAGCCCCAAGCTGCACATTTCCCAAATGTGCGGCTCGGGATTGGTGTTCCCTGGTTTCACAATTCGCCCTTCCGTCCCTTTCCCCCGTGATTCCAACCGCTTCAATTCGGTTCCCCCCTTCTACACCCCTCTACAACAGTCATATCGCTACATTCTACACCCGTATGCTATTCCTAATATATAAGCCTTCCTACACCTATGGTCGTACGCTAGCATGATAACTATACCCGCATCCTACTGTTATAGCATATGCACTAAATACATATGATGTGACAACTGTCGGAGAACACCTCTCCTCCCCGCTGCTGTTCTTCTTCTTGTCATCCCTTGTTCCCCACCTGCCCTCAGTCACCCACTGCCCCCTCCTGTGCTCGGGCTCGAGCTGCTTGGGCTCGTGTCACAGGACCTCTATGCTGAGGCTTACTTCCCTTCACCAGGGCTGTGTTCCTCTGGTGCTCCTTCAACCGTGCTCCCCTTTCGTTCTCCAACACCAGTATCCCTGAGGGACGCACTTCCCTCACCCTCCATCTCTCTGTCCCCACCCCGACGTCCAAGGTGTCTTGTTTTGCCCGTTTCAGGTACACCTCTTGCCCCTGGCTCACTCCCTTCTTCATTCTGCCCCCCAACCCTTGCTGCTGCCGTTGCTCATAACGCCTAGCATCCCTCAGCTGTGCAGTGTGGAGGTTTTCCAGTGCTGCTGGCATCATCACCCGCAGGTACTTGGCCCTGGCTTCTGACAGTGCCACCCAGTTGTCGATGGTGCCTGCTGTCACCGTGTGTGTGAGGACCCGCGGGGCACCCACTGGCAGCAGTGGTTCACAACCGAACAGGAGGCTGTAAGGTGAATGATCCTTCAAGGCCGCCTGCTTCCCAAATCTGTACCCCGCGGCCACCCACTGCAGCTCATCATCCCAGTCCCGCTTCCTCCTCTCCCCATATGCCCGCAGCCCTCGCTTGAGAGTCTGGACCAGCCGCTCTGTCAACCCGTCACTCTGTGGGTGATAGCGGGAAGTGCGCCTGTGAGTGATTCCAGCTTCTTCTAGCAGCTTCTTGAACTCCCCCTGGAACTCTGTTCCATGATCGGTGAGCACCTCTGCACGTGCTCCAAATCTGCATATCACCTGCTCCTTGAACGCTGCTGCCACATGCCTCGAGCTTTTGCTGGGGATAGCCCTCACCTCCAGCCACTTGCTCACATGCTCCACCATCAGCACTATGTACTGCTTTCCCCCTCGGCTTAGCGGCAACTCCCCGGCCAGATCTGGGGACCATCTGAAGCCCAGGCCTCGGATGGGCAAGGACTGCAGCTCAGCCCATGCTTGGCTGAGGTTGGCCCTGCTTCGTTGGCACGCTTCACAGCCCTCCACCCACTTCTGCCCCTGCCTGCGCATTCCCTCCCACCACCACCCCGTCTTCAGTAACTGTACAGTCCTTTCATGCCCGAAATGTCCCAGCTTTGTGTGCACCTCTTTAATCACTGCTTCCCTTTCGCCCGGTGCTGGCACCAACTTCCACCCTTCATCCGTCTGTATCTGTAGCTACTGCTGGTACCATCTGTAGTGGTGGCCCCTTGCTCTCACTCTCTCTGGCATTGCCTCGTCCTCCCCTGTCTCCCCCTTTACCCACCGCATGGCCTGTTCATCTTCCCAGATGTCTGCTGGACCCCTGCTTCCCTTTACCCCGTTCATCTCTACCTGTCTGGCCAGCAGCGTCAATGTCACTGTCGGTTCCAGTGGTGGGGGGTTTCGGGAGAGCCCGTCTATGTGCTGTAGGGTCTTCCCAGGCCTGTGTCTGATCTTGAAGTCATATTCCTGCAGCTTCATTGCCCACCGTGCGTTCCTGCCCATCAACCCCGGCGTCGTCATCAGCCATGTCAGGGGCTTGTGATCTGTTACCAGGGTGAACTCTCGGCCCTGCAAGTACACTCTGAAGTGCCCCACGGCACATATTGCTGCTAACCCCTCTCCGATGTATGAGCTATACTGCGCCTCTGCCGAATTACAGCTTCTGCTCGCGTATGCCACCACCTTCTCCTCTCCCTTCACTTCTTGACAAAGGATCCCCCCCATCCCTTGGCTGCTCCTGTCGGTGTAGAGGATGAACGGCTGGTCAGCGGCTGGCAGTTGCAGCACGGTTGCTGTCTTCACTGCTGTCATCAAGTCCTGCAGTGCCCCTTTCTGTGCCTCTCCCCACTCCCAGGCCCTGTCCTCCCTTAGCAGCCCATTCAATGCCGCTGCTCGCTTGCTGAAGTTGGGTACGAACCGCCGGTAGTAGCTCAGGAAGCCCAGCACTGCCCTCAGCCCTGACTTGTCCTTGGGCTCCCGCAGCCTGTCCAAGACCTCTACCTTAGCCTGCTGGATCCCAATCTGCCCCCCCTTCACCTTATACCCCAGGTACTGCACCGTTTGCTCCCCCCACTTGCACTTCTTGGGGTGGCACGTGAGTCCTGCTGCCTCCAGTGCCGCCAGCGTCTTACCCACATCCTGCAGGTGCTGCTGCTCAGTGGTGCTGAAGATCACCACGTCATCTATGTAGTAGGCCGCGCATTCCACATCTCGCAGCACCGCATCCATAACCCTCTGGAACACGGCTGACGCATTCCTCAACCCAAATGGCATGTACAGCCATTCGTACCGCCCGTCTGGCCCATGGAACGCCGTCTTCTTTATGTCTTCCTCTCTGATTTTGATTTGATTGAACCCCTGCCGCATGTCCAACGTCGTGAAGAAGACCCCATCTGCTAGCTTGTCAAATATCTCCTCCGCCATCGGCATCGGGTACCTGTCGGCTATGGTGATCTTGTTGAGCGCTCTGTAGTCGCCACACATCTTCCTGCTTAGTATCTCCCCTGTCAGGTCCTTCCTCGCAGCCACCACTGTTGGTGTAGCGTATTCTGATTCTGAGCGTCTAATTTGTCCTGCTTCCAGCAGCTCCTTGACCTTCTCTTTGCAGACTTCCTCATCTCCGTGCGGCATCTTCCTCCTGCGGTGAAATACTGGCTCCGTGCTATTCAATTTCAGCGCCATTTCCTTCACCTTGCACCGTCCCAACTCCTGCAACGTGATGGCAAAGCACTTCCTGTGCTTGTTTAGCAGCTCCCGCATGGCCTCCTTTCCTTCTTCACTCATCGCCTCCCCTACCGTCCACTGCTTTCTCTCCTCCTCCTTGCAGGTCCAAGCCCCTTGTGGGACTGGCGCTGCCACCCCTCCCTCTGCTTCATGCCCCCAGCTCAAGACCGTCTCCCTCCACATCCTTTGCACCAGCCACCTCATCATGTATCCGTCCATGGCGTTCCCCAGCGCCCTCCTCCTCTCCTCTTCACTCACCCCTGGGGCTGCTGTCACGTTCTCCCCATACCCCATGGCTAGCTCCCTTTCCAACGCCGTTGGTTCCTCCCACCGCCCTTGCCTGTGATCGTACACCAGTCCTGGCCCCGGTCTCCCCCCTTCCCATTTGTAGCCGGCTGCGCCCACATACGACACCAGGGTGGGCAGGGCCCTCCTGTCTCGTCCCACCTGGTTGCAAGGGTAGTGCTTGCTGTAGCCCTTCTGGCACACTGGCGCAGGAGTCCGCCCTGGTTCCAAGATGTCCAGCAACCTTCTACCCGTTGCTCTCTTCACCCCCTCCACCTCTTCTTGCAGTTTCAACACCGGGACGACGTTCTGCCAATACATTCCTCAGCCGGTGTGCATAAGACCCCGCTCTGGCTGCGTCGCAGCTGATCCCCTTCCCCAACTGTCTGCTGATCCTCTCTCTCACCAGCCGAATCGGCTCACGGCAATCCCCTTCCAGGTCCAGATTCTCCAACAGGTACGCCACCCTGCCTTGTCTTTCTTGCAGCCATTCCAAGATGCAAAACAAACTCTCCATCAGCTTCGTTCTCGGGTCCTCCCCTCCCTTCCCTTTTCCAGCCCAAGACACCCCTTGACATTCCCATCCCGCCACCAGCAGATCTACCTGCCCCCAGCTGGCCACCTGCGCCTCCGTCAGCTGGCTCACGTCATGAAGGGTGCTGCCCATGGCGTCGCGAATCACCTCTGCACTCATGAGCTCTGGGAACTCGGCCTGCAACCTCCATGCGTGATGCTCCGCCATCTTCCTCACCTCCGGCGCTTGTTCTACATATATCCACTGCTGCACTGCTATCCCATTCTTCACCACTGCTTCCAGCCCTGCCCCAATTCCCCCGAACAGCTCCACCAAGTGAATGGGCTGCTGCCAGTCGCTTTGCTTCCCTGGGGCGTCCATCAGCTTCATCCTAGGCCCCGCTCTGATCTCTTCTGTCCCCACCTGTCCCCCTATCTGCTGCCTCTCAGATGCTTCCCTTGCGCTGGCCTGGTATGCCCTCTCCGGCTCCACCTCAACAAATTGCACCGGTAGCTGCCCCAAGGGTCCCTCTTTCTTCCAATACCTCGTATGGAATTCCACCTTCTCGGTCCAGGTGCAAATACTCATGCCCACTGCAAACACCATCTCTGTCCCTACCAACACATCAAAATCCTCCGACTCGGAAATCCCACATTTGATCCTGATTCGGGTCTCATGCTCCCCTCCTGGCAACAGAGTCAGCTCTATGGGTGTTCGTGTGCATGGCATCCACTTCGGCTCCCCTCCCTCTGCTGTCATCACCAACATGCCCTTCGCCACTTGCCTCTCTGGGGCCATCAGTCCTAACCGCTCTGCCATCCCCTTGCCCAGCATCACACTCGGTGCTCCTGTGTCAATGATGGCCGTCTTCACCGGCTTCCCTTCTACCTCCATTGCTCCTGCCCCCACTAGTAGCACCGAAGTCTGACATGCGAGTCTCTCTTGCGGGTGGCGTGCTGGGGGTTTCTCCTGCGCCACAAGGTCTGGCTTGTGTCCCCGTTCACGTTCCTTCCTGCCGTGTTCCTGCCTGCCATCCCTGCCCCCGCTCCGTAGCCCCATCTCTTCTCTCCCCCTCCATGCCATCAGAGCACACTGCGCGTCCGGCTCCACCTCCTCCCATTCGTCATCTCTGGCGTACATTCTTGCCTCTGCCTCCCACCTTGGCCCCATGGCTTGCAGCTGAGACTGTAACCTGCTGATCTGCCGTTGCAGCTCTTCGGGGTTCCTCCTTACTGCCCCTTCCCTCTGATAGCATTCCTTGGCATCATGCCCCTTCTTCCCACAGATCTCACACCTGGCTGCATCTGGACATTCTCTCTTCCGGTGCCCCGGCTTCCCACAGCCGTCACAGTTTTTGCAGTCCTTGTGGAGGTGGCCCACCTGCCCGCACCGGTGACACGTGCGGGTGTCCGCTCTCATCTCCGCTCGCGTGTCTGCCCTCCCCCTCTCCTCAGGTATCATGGCCGCCGCCCAGGTTGGCCTGCGGCTTCTCTCTGTCGGCCTCGGCAGGTATGCTTCATACTTCCGCTGTGCGAGCTCAACCTTCTCCGCCAGCTCGAATACCTCCTCTAGTGCCGCCTCAGCCCCTAACTCGTACACCCTCATCCTCAGCCCCCCCCCCCCAGGGCCTCGTCCAGGCCTCCCAAGAACTTGCTAATGAGAAGGCTGTTGTCCGCACACTGATCAGCCGGTTGTAGTAGGTCAGCAGTGACTCCGCCCGTCCCCTCCAGAATTCTTGGAACTCCCTTATGCGCTCCGCCGTGTGCCCTGGGAATTGCCGCTGTAGCCGCTCCAGGAATGCCTCGGTGGGGTCTTCCCCATACTTCCCTGCCCTCCATAGTAGTTCTTCCATCCGCATACGGTACAGCGTCTCGGCCTCTCCCTCTAGTGTGTTCGGTAAACTCAGGAAAAAGTCCACGGGGTCCACATTGTGTCTGTCGCGGCGGTAGCGCACATTTCCCACCTGCATCAGGTAATTCTTGAGGGTCGGCCCTACTCGTTGATCTCCTGAGAACCTGGCAGGGACTTCTACCCGAGGCGCGCTGGCAGCACCCCCTCGCCCCTCTCCCCACGATTCGCTAGCCCCTCCCGGCCGATTGCTCTCCGCTCCTCTCTCCCTTGCTCTCTGCATGCCTTCACTGGCCTCCCGTGCCCGTTCCGCGCCGTACACCAAGCTCCCGCCCTCCTGCCGACTCCATTCCGCCTCGCGGCGCCTTTCCCTCGGCCCTCCCCATTCCTCTGCCCGAGCCCACTGCCGCATTGGCGGGTCGTGCATCCTCCGCCCTTCCCCGTTGCTCGTCTCGCGGTGCCGCCGTCTCTCTGGCGACGGTGACCAGGTGCCTCCCCTTCTGCTGCGCTGTTGGCGGCGCTCAGGCGAATGCCTTTCTCCTTCCTCTTTCTCCCCCCGCTGGCGGCGTTCGTCTGGCGAGCGGGCCCCGCTGCGGATCCTCCTCTCTCCCTGCCTTGGCCGATCCGGTGCGCGCACCGCGCTGCCGCGCTCCCATTGCTGCCGACCGCGCCGCCCCTGCGACCAGAGCTCCGTCTCGTCCCTCCTTCCATGACGCCCGTGCGGCTCGGGAGAGCGTGGCTCATCCTTCCATCTGCCCCCGCGCTTCTGTTGCCGCTCCGGGGAACGCACGCCGCCGCCGCTCCAACCTCCCTGCTCTCCTCGCCTGTCCTCCGACCTGAAGTCCCCCCCGCGCCAATCTCCGCGATACTGACCCCTTTCTGGCGTGCGCGACCGCTCCGCCTTTCGTTTGCCACGCTTCTCTGCGTCCGTCCATCGCGCCCACTCTCGTCCTGGGCCACTCGCTCCTGCCGAAGCGAGCCCTCGGCGCGCTGCTCGTCCCCACGGCTGGCGTTTTGCCCGTGGGATTCCCCCGCCTGGCTCGCCCCAGCGTTCTCGTCCGCCTGAGCGGGTTCGGCCACGTCGATTCCCGCTGCCTGGTCCTCGCCGGCATCTCCCTCATCGGCGCCCTCGACCTGCAGCCCCGGGTCCTCCTCGTCCGCCTCCGCGCCCCGCTCCCCGTTCACTTCCTGTGCCGCGCTCTCCTGCGCGCCCTTTATGCGATCACCGCCGCGCATGTATCTTCCTCGTCCCCGGGGAAATTCCTCGAGGCCTTGCCAACGGCCGCGGTCGTCACGGCGCCGTCCTCGCCCCTCCGGAGAGCGGAACCTTCCTTCGTCGCGGCGGGTTTCCCTTTCACCGCCGATCCCGCGCGCTCTGTCTCGCAGCCATGCGTCTCTATCGACGCCTCCAACACGGCCCGCATTGCCTGCTCCCTCGCCCGTCGATCCTTCCTCCCGACGGTCCCTTGCGAGGGGAATTCGGTCCGCGCGGAAGGCTGGTCGGCGCGACGATCTCTCCAATGATCGCCCTCGTTCCCGTGACGGCTCACGTCGCGGCCGTTCCTCCTCGCGACGGCTAAACATCCTACCCCAGCGCAACTCGTATTTATTCATATCTGCACAGGCTCAGGCCTTATGCTTGTTATGAAAGTAATTGGTCCCTCACCCCGTAGGTTCCCCTCTTAGTGACATGCCACGGTGTGCTAGAGCGTAGATGACAACCTTTACTAGTTCGAGAGAATAACAAGCCTAAGGCAAGAAAGGGGTGGGTGTGAGGGACCTTACGCAGCCCCAAGCTGCACATTTCCCAAATGTGCGGCTCGGGATTGGTGTTCCCTGGTTTCACAATTCGCCCTTCCGTCCCTTTCCCCTGTGATTCCAACCGCTTCAATTCGGTTCCCCCCTTCTACACCCCTCTACAACAGTCATATCGCTACATTCTACACCCCTATGCTATTCCTAATATATAAGCCTTCCTACACCTATGGTCGTACGCTAGCATGATAACTGTACCCGCATCCTACTGTTATAGCATATGCACTAAATGCATATGATGTGACAATCACCAGCCCTTGCTGTGGTTGATGCAGAACCAAACACTGACAGGGCGGAACGCGAGGTGGGCGATGAAACTGCAAGAATATGACTTCACGGTGAAGCATCGCCCAGGCAAGACGATGCAACACGTGGATGGGTTGTCAAGGAACCCACCAAAGGATGGAGGGGTAGGCGGACCAGGGCCAGGGCCACCAGTGGCCGCATTAACCGCCATGATCCAGGAGCAGAGGACGGGAGGGGAACAGGCGCGCGGGACTGCGGACATATGGCAGGATGCGGAGACACTCGCATGGATAAAGGGAGAGACGGCCGAAGACGGGGGAGCAGGGACCAGAGCAAGGGCTAGGGGGCAACATTACAGGTGGTTCCAAGGCCAGTTGCAGCTGCGAACTAAGGACGGATGGAAGCGGGTGCCAGAGCCAAAGGAGCGAGAGGCAATCATCAGGAAAGTGCATGAGAAGCTGGGCCACTTCGGCCCACTGCGCACGCAGCAGCTGCTACAGACGGGCTGGTGGTGGGCAGGGATGAGAAGGGAGGTGAAGGAGTGGGTGGAGCAATGTGAGCTCTGCTGCAGGAACAAGGCTACACTGCTGAGGAGTCAGGCAGAGCTCCAGCCTCTGGCCATAGTGGAGCTGGGCTACCGTTGGTCGTTGGACCTAGCAGGAGAACTACCAGTGTCTAGGCGGGGAAGGCGCTACATAGTGTTCATGATCGAACACGTGAGCAAATGGGCAGAGGCCCGGCCATTGGTCAACAAGACGGCAGCCGCAGACGCTGAAGCATTCGAGGAGATGGTGATTACCAGGTTTGCAGCATGAAGGGAGGTGCAGACAGATCAGGGAACAGAGTTTCAGGGGGAGTTTGAGGAGTTGCTGGCAGCAATTGGCATTCAGCATCGCACCACCTCACGGTATCACCCGCAGGCATATGGGCTGACGGAGCGACTGGTTCAGACAGTAAAGAAGGGCCTGCGACTGTATGGTGAAACACACAAGGGAGACTGGGACAAGAAGTTGGTGTAAGAAGCTGGACAGGAAGGAGCCCTTCAGGGAAGCAAATAGGGAGGAAGGGAGACAGGAGGAGAACTGGAAAGCATCTGTGGGGGGGGGAACAGAGTGAGCAGTCACCCGGAAGAGAGAGAAAGACATGACAGGAAGGGAAAGCAGGAGTGAATGAGAGGGAGGGGAAGGGAGTAGAGCGGTAGCAGGAGAAAGAGAAGAGCAAGGGGGAGAGAGCAAGGGAACGGACGGTGGAGTCCGACACCAATGGACCACCTGTTCGACCAACTTCCTGTTGGCCCAACGAACCGGTTGGACCCACTTACCTGTTGGTCCAATAAACCGGTTGGACCATCTGGCCCATTAGCTCTATGGACCGGTTGGACCAACTGGCCTGTTGGTCGAATGGACCGCTTGGACCATCTGGCCCGTTGGCCCTATGGACCGGTTCGACCAACTGCCTGCTGGCCCAATGGAGTGGTTGGACCCACTGGCCTGTTGGTCCAATGGACCGGTTGGACCATCTGGCCCGTTAGCTCTATGGACCGGTTGGACCAACTGGCCTGTTGGACCAATGGACCGGTTGGAACAACTGGCCTGTTGGTCCGATGGACCGGTTGGACCAACAGGCCTTTGAGTCCAATGGACCAGTTGGACCAATTGCCTGTTTGTCCAATGGACCGGTAGGACCAACTGGCCTGTTGGCCCGATGGACCGGTAGGACCAACTGGCCTGTTGGTCCGATGTACCGGTTGGACCAACTGGCCCGTTGGCCCTATGGACCGATTGGACCATCTGGACCGTTGGCCCTATGGACCGTTTGGACCATCTGGCCTGTTGTCCCTATGGACCGGTTAGACCAACTGGCCCGTTGGTCCAATGGACTGGTTGGACCATCTGGCCCGTTGGCCCTATGGACCGGTTGGACCAACTTGCTCGTTGGTCTAATGGACCGGTTGGACCAACAGGCCCGTTCGTCCAATGGACCGGTTGGACCAACTGGCCTTTTGGCCCAACGGACCGGTTGGACCAACTGGCCTATTGTCCCAATGGACCAGTTGGACCAACTGGCCTATTGGTTCCGTGGGCCGGTTGGACCAAGTGGCCTGTTGGCCCAATTGTCCGGTTGGACCAACTGGCCCGTTGGCCCGATGGACCTGTTGGATCAACTCGCTCGTTGGTCCGATAGACCTGTTGGACCAACTGGCCTGTTGGTCCGATGGACCGGTTGGACCAACTGGCTTGTTGGCCCGATGGACCGGTTGGACCAACTGGCCTGTTGGTCCCATGGACCGGTTGGACCAACTGGTCTGTCGGTCCGATGGACCGGTTGGACCAACTGGCCTGTTGGTCCGACGGACCGGTTGGACCAACTGGCCTGTTGGCCCAATGGACCGGTTGGACCAACTGGCCTGTTGGCCCAATGGACCGGTTGGACCAACTGGCCTGTTGGCCCAATGGACCAGTCAGACCAACTGGCTTGTTGGCCCAATGGACCGGTTGGACCAACTGGCTTGTTCGTCCAATGGACCGGTTGGACACACTGCTTGTTGGTCCAATCGACCGGTTGGACCAACTGGCATTTTGGCCCGGTGGACCGGTTGGACCAAATAGCATGTTGGCCGAATTGACCGGTTAGACCCACTGGCCTGTTGGCCCATTGGAACGGTTGGACCAACTGGCGTATTGCCCCAACGGACCGGTTGGACCAACTGGCCTGTTGATCCATTGGACCGGTTGGACCATCTGGCATGTTGGCCCTATGGACCAGTTAACCCAACGGCCTGTTGGTCCAATGGACGGGTCGGATCAACTGGCCTGCTGACCCCATGGACTGGTTGGTCCAACTGCCTGTTGGTCCGATGGACTGTTAGGACCAACTGGCCTGTTGGCCAAATAGAACGGTTGGACCAACTGGCCTGTTGGTCAAATGGACCACCTGTTCGACCAACTGCCTGTTGGCCCAATGGATCGGTTGGACCAACTGGCCCGTTGGCCCGATGGACCTGTTGGATCAACTCGCTCGTTGGTCCGATGGACCTGTTGGACCAACTGGCCTGTTGGTCCGATGGACCGGTTGGACCAACTGGCTTGTTGGCCCGATGGACCGGTTGGACCAACTGGCCTGTTGGTCCCATGGACCGGTTGGACCAACTGGTCTGTCGGTCCGATGGACCGGTTGGACCAACTGGCCTGTTGGTCCGACGGACCGGTTGGACCAACTGGCCTGTTGGCCCAATGGACCGGTTGGACCAACTGGCCTGTTGGCCCAATGGACCAGTCAGACCAACTGGCTTGTTGGCCCAATGGACCGGTTGGACCAACTGGCTTGTTCGTCCAATGGACCGGTTGGACACACTGCTTGTTGGTCCAATCGACCGGTTGGACCAACTGGCATTTTGGCCCGGTGGACCGGTTGGACCAAATAGCATGTTGGCCGAATTGACCGGTTAGACCCACTGGCCTGTTGGCCCATTGGAACGGTTGGACCAACTGGCGTATTGCCCCAACGGACCGGTTGGACCAACTGGCCTGTTGATCCATTGGACCGGTTGGACCATCTGGCATGTTGGCCCTATGGACCAGTTAACCCAACGGCCTGTTGGTCCAATGGACGGGTCGGATCAACTGGCCTGCTGACCCCATGGACTGGTTGGTCCAACTGCCTGTTGGTCCGATGGACTGTTAGGACCAACTGGCCTGTTGGCCAAATAGAACGGTTGGACCAACTGGCCTGTTGGTCAAATGGACCACCTGTTCGACCAACTGCCTGTTGGCCCAATGGATCGGTTGGACCAACTGGCCCGTTGGCCCGATGGACCTGTTGGATCAACTCGCTCGTTGGTCCGATGGACCTGTTGGACCAACTGGCCTGTTGGTCCGATGGACCGGTTGGACCAACTGGCTTGTTGGCTCGATGGACTGGTTGGACCAACTGGCCTGTTGGTCCCATGGACCGGTTGGACCAACTGGTCTGTCGGTCCGATGGACCGGTTGGACCAACTGGCCTGTTGGTCCGACGGACCGGTTGGACCAACTGGCCTGTTGGCCCAATGGACCGGTTGGACCAACTGGCCTGTTGGCCCAATGGACCAGTCAGACCAACTGGCTTGTTGGCCCAATGGACCTGTTGGACCAACTGGCTTGTTCGTCCAATGGACCGGTTGGACACACTGCTTG